CATTACTTTAAATGTAAGGATTGTTACCTAGTTTCCCATGTACATTATATTTAAGGTAACCATTTAGGTACTGATGTTTTTTGAACTTAGTCACGAGTAATACTTGCCATTGCCCAACCCATTATTAGTTCAATACCTCTGCATAATGTCTGATACACAAACCATGGCCAAGGTTTTGGATACTGTGATACGGTTGGTTGTGTACCATACCTTACTCTCTCGGCTAAAAGTCCTGAAACAATGTAAAAAATCAAGAATGTTCATCTTTAATAACAAGATCATACGGTCTGAAGTAATTAAGAATGCATCAAATTTGTCATTCACAAAAAAATCAAGTTACCATATGGACCAAAAATACGTGCAATGTCTGCAACGCATAAAATGATTCCTAAAATTGCAGTTACATATATTACATTTAATACTTTTCGAATTTTCATCTTCTTTGAATTTGCTTCAAGTATATGCAGACGCGTATCGGATTTCGATCTGTCTACATACGCGATGTGATTTAATATCGAATGAAGCGTAAAGTCGCCACTCTGAAAACAAATATTTAGATATACAGAGTAAAATGAAGCCCGTAGGTTTATAAGATTATAAAATCGAAATTAACGGAACCGATGAAACTAGATGAGAGGAAACTACCGTAATTTTTGTATCGGTTGTAGCAGTTTCAGGAAGCAATGTAGTCTCGACGGTTATTTCTCCGGCTTCCTCTTTTCCCTTTTCATTTTTCCATGATAAACTTTTCTTGCGCCCTTTTCCATCGTCCTCTTTGGTTTTGATCTTTTCTGCCATTAAGACTGCTTTCTCGCTACAATCAGGCTGATCCGAGTCCGATTCGGACTTCTCCTGTATTTCTATTTTTTCAGGAACTATATTACGACCATGGGTAGGACTTCTACTTAAAGTTCTAATGCTTATGTCACTATTCTGGCGGTTCAAGTTTAATGGTTTGATTTGAATCATCTCAGAATTACGTCGAAAGGAAATATCTGAATTTCTACGTAACTCGCTTTTCGAAATGATTCCGCTAATATCTGAATTACGTCTTGAGTCTAAAGCGTAAAATTAAGGAAGCGAATTATACAATTGTTGCTAATAGAACAAGTATTTTTTCTATTTTACCTGCAGGACTTAAATCCACAACTCTGGGTAATTTGTAATGTTCGTTCGAAGGTAACATTCTTCTAGGTGTTCTATTTCCAAAATCGCTATTACGCTTCAATTTAGCCGCAAATTGGGAACCTCTGTTTTTTTCATGTGTAAAATCGGAACACCGTCTTAGATCTTTTACGCTTCCTACAGGAGTAACATTCTCCGAATGTCTCCTGGACATTCTATCCGGAGATCGCCTACGATCGATATCGGGCGAATGTCTAGAGTTGAAGTCCGAATTTAATCGACGTTCTGGCGTAGTGCCGTCCTCATCGTTCACAAATCGAACGCTGCATTCGGAATTCCTTCGCGAGGATCTAGAGGCGTCGCTACTCCGCCTGCTACCGACAGAGCTTCTACGGCTCGGGCTCGATACCGTTATTATAGGCAAATTAGCTGCCGAAGGCGTTGGTGTCGGCGGTCGGACATACACTTCTGGTACCGTGGACACAGGCGTTGTCTTTTCGTCTTGTCGCGATGGATATCTGCAAAATTTCTCACACTCCTTTTGTAGTTGCTCTTCCTTTTTAGATAATTTTGCAAGACGATCTGTAACATCAAAAATACCAGTGTTTTATTTCATTTCAATAAGATAACTAATATTTTTACCTGTACAATTTTTCTCCGATTCGATCACAAAAGTGGGAGGTTCTGTTTCTTCTGTGCTCTTAGTCTTAGGATTGAGCAAAGTAGGTACTAGAGCGGCAGCAACGGACGATGCTAAGTTACCGTAAGGTGCTAACATTGCCAGTTGCATGATACCTTGGAAAATATTAAATGTTTAATTTAACGATGTTGAAATGTTTTGGTTTTTGAAAAATTGAAAGCAAGTTGCGAGAACATACCTTTCTGATCGCTAATATTATTGTCTCTCGCCAACATGCTACTCGGTACTGCTTTTAATAAGCGCATTATCTTGTAACCTGCACGTAGGAATGATAGATACAAAAGAATGCTCAAGACAAGGAACACAGACTGTACCATGTAATTGACAACGTAACAATTCGGGGAAGTTAGATCGATGTTGGTGGCAATTACAAGAAAAAAATGTCCTGCCATAATTAAATTTACACAATAATCCCTTTGTATATTTTGTGGTCCAAATTTAAGCTGAAATTGTATCCAATCGTATGTTGAGTCTGTTCTTGTTAACGTATTGATTATAGTAATATTCGGATTACCTGAGTTAGTTGTAGGAAAGTCAGTTGTATAAGACTAAAGGCGTACGTTATATAAGGGAATCCAAGATTCCATGCTATCGATCCTATGAATTTTGGCACGAAAGATTTTTTAAGATTATACGGATCTATGAAGAGACAAAGAGCTCTCAAAGCCCCGAATACGCATAGAAACATATTAATATTTGACATATAAGATCGGTTCGATATAAGCGACCTGAAAAATAATAGATAGATTCTGTATAATTCCACAATATATATATATATCGTTTGTAAGAAATTCGTTCTTAGTACCTGATATGTAGAATGGATAAAAATGTGTAAGATGAAAGTACAAAAAAGAGACACGCGAAACCGTACGCGTGTAGAAGGAAGATCCATTTCAGTTCCTGATTTACAGAAATCAATGATGGAGAGACTACTAGAAATTTTTCAAAAACTGCAGATGTAGATGAATTTGAAATACAGCTTTGTCCAGAGTTTGGTGTTGATGATGTTTCATTCATATCTATTGATAAAGCAGAAATTATTAAACGATATTCATATTTAATGTTTCTACACTTATAATTACTATATATGTATAAGCTTTAAAGACTATAGTCTTATGATTTTTGTTTCAATAATTACAAAGTTTTCTGTGAACTAATCGACAAAGCTATTAAAATAAATATTTACCGCAGTATTTACATGTAAGATAATTTTAAAATAATCATAAGATAAATTAGTTTCTTTCCACCGCTTGATAGCAAATAACATATAAAGTTATTATCACCGTACATTTTTTAATAATTCATTGAATAACATAAAAATATTTCACATATTCTAATCATGTGAAATGTAAAGAATAATTGTAGCATAAAAAAAACTGACCATAAGTCCAATTAGTCAGCCTATCCATAATCTCTAGATTGGTGTCCACAGCACATCACTGATGCTTATTCTAATCGTTGGACTATGACAGATAATCGTCGTTTCTTTCAACTGAAACCGATCAGATAATCGCAAAAACGAGCTTTGAAATTGTGGTAGCAGCAACAGGCTTTACCTATAGTGTAGCCGGACTTGCATCCCTCCTCTCCAAGTCGCGGACACTCTCGGTCCCGTCGTCCCGTCCCTTTCTCTTACCCTCCTGTTAGAAATATTGATTTTATACAAAGAGGATTGGAGGGAGAGTTCAGACTGTAGTGAGCTTGACGCTTGTCGATTGTTTATCTTTAGAATTTAAATAGAGCATGTACTAAATATATCAAATTAATCTCGTATCATTGTTTATTATTACCTCCTTATTACGTACATATTACATACACGTTAGTTTTATCTTTGAAAAATTGATAACATTATATTTTTAAAACATGATACTTATTTTAAGCATAGAAATTATCTTCTTGCTACTTTTTGTAGGAATTATGTACATATATGTAATAAATTCATTCACATCGATCAATTTTTTCATATAAACTGAGTTAGTAATTTTGTTTATCCATCTTGAAATATTTCAGAAATTTTCAGAAAATTTGTTCAATAAATCCTTGATATAGTATTAATTATTCTTATCGTTCATCTTTACCTCTACATTATACCGACATTAAATATAGTATTGTTCAATAATATTTTTTATTATTGTTGTCAAAACAAATAATTGCTTCGTAATAAGTTGTTGACGCTGACAAAAGTCGAGTCCACAATATCCACTTTTCTCACTTCGGTACGATACAAAGTTCATCCATTTAATAACAATAAAAATGTACTTACTGTGCTACATCTATTGAAATAGCATAGCATTTCAAACACTTAATTTATTGAAGTTTCAAATTATTTTGATCTAGAAGTGAACACTACAGGTGGTATTTGGCCATTACCGTTCTAGAAACTTACACACGTTAAATCATGAATGTCTTCCAAGTTAAAAGTATCATCGTTGTCGGCTGTGCCTAATTAAATGTCAATAACACAATCTTGAAGTAACATTAAAAAACATTAGTTCTAGTCAAACACCCTTTATTAAAATTCGATAGTCTGAAGTTTGTACTTGAAACTTAACTTTACATGTTTCGCTACATACATGTACATAATAAAGATATTGTGCAAAGTTAACATTTAATAAGAATAATGAAAAAACTGCATGATAAACACAAAGGATATAAAGAAGAAAAATAAAACTCTATCCATGAAATCATTATTATGCTGTTATTATATTATACTAAACATATGTTATTAATATTAGAAATTTCACGAAACAGTTCCACTTAAGTTTCTCTTTTGTTCTGTTAACTACAATTATGGTAAATTACACGAATGTTCCATAACTTGTAGAAATCAATTGCGTAGACATGCTCTAACTGCGATTAATTGCCAAAGAAGGAATATGGGGCTCATCATTTCTGAGTATTCCAAAGTGCTTTGCCCGGTTAACTTTTTACACAATAGGTATTTAAAAAGAAATAGCAAGAGTAGCGTTGTGAGGCTCCGAAGTGCTCTGTAATTAGCACCTCTGATTAGCCCTCCCTCCATACGCATTCTCATGAAAATAATTGCGCAAAAGTAAGTATTCAATCCATCTGCGACGAAGAGAGGTGAGAAAACTATCCACCATCCTGTGTTACCAAAGAAATAATTGTCATCTAATTTTAGAGCCAGTAGCATTGTAAACATTGCCAATGAAACTAAGTTTATCCATATCTCAAAAATTGTTAGGTCTAACCAATCTACTAGTTCGTCCAAAGAAAACATCATTTCGATTGCTTTGGATTAGAAATGAAGAGAACACAATTACTTTACTTCCTTCTTTATCATATCACAATCCTTTGTTTATTATTTAGATTTTTATCACGATAATCCATCGAACATTCTTAAGTCTTGTACCGCTATTCGTGATACTTGAGACTACCTACTGAAAACTTTCTAAATACACGAATATGTATGGCAGAATTATTCCTATTAATTGTTTCATAATCGGCATTATCGTGAAGAGGTTCAAAGTCATCTACAATAAAATATAATATTATTATCGTTATCGAAAATGTAATATTAATAACAATCTAGAATACTTATTCACCAATGATAGACGTAGTAGAAGTCTTGACATCTAATTCGATTCCACCATAATGAATCTCCTTCAACTGAAGAACTAAATTACAAGCTCTGAGTACAGCAGCTCCAAGACCATGAATGATCAGTTCGCAGGCACCATTGTTAAGAAGTTTCTCACATATCTTCAACTGAGCCTTGTATCGTAAAATTAATAAGAAAAAATCAATTAAAATGAACCAAATTACTTGTATTAATAAAAACAAAATTATACATATGTATATATATATATCAATTGGATTATAAAATACCTGAACATAAAAACAATAACAAATTATAGGACAATCTATTTACTAACAAGCTTTTATTTTTCGTTACTATTGACAGTGGCAAAAGACAAGGTTATAATGTAGAAACAATTATTACCTTAATATTTGTTTTATTAGTAACAAATATATCTTTCTTCCGTTTTCTCAATAGACTGAAAGGTTGTCTTTTTTTGATAGTGTAGTCCGAAGACAACAACTTCCTGCGTTTTGTTCTAGGCGCGTTTCTCTCTTTCAAAAAATTCGAACTGGCCCCCGAACACTTGAGCACATCGGTCATTCTGACAGTTACCGTATGCGATTTTCTGTTAACTTTCCGCGTGCAATACTTTGTTCTTATCGGCAATGATCTCTATCTAAGCAAACTAATAGGCTAATTAAATAACTCGTGTGAAAATTAAATGGTAAATTCGCTGGTCGAAATCAGTTGAAAACAACGATTTATAACCTTAAAAGTTAGAGGCATCGATTGATGGGCGCTTAGACAACGATTTAGCGCGTTCTACCGGAAACCGTCGTGTTGCGTGTATCATCGTAAAATACCGAATTTCGACGAAATGAAGGAACCCGAGGTAGACCCGAAAAATATTATAAAAAGCAGAGAATTACTCTACAGGCTTATGATCAGGTTGCATATTTTTCTTGTTCTTTTCCTTCCTCTGTATATTCGTATTAATTATTGTTCCTTAATAGTACTAGAAACTGTAACTTGTACTATTTTGTCTTCTACAGGGTCATTTAACCAATAGTTATATGCCTATATATAATATTCTTTATATAATATATTCATCAAAAATAGTAATACAATGTAACAAATGTTTTAGTCAATTATTTTACGATGGACATCAAACATTGGCTGTGCAACTATCGAATATAATTCAAGCAGAACCCCCGTGCCCTCCATCAGACCGATTACTTCATTTAATGTTGATCGGATTGGCTCACGAACCTGACCGTTCTAAAAAGGATACAAGTAATGTATCTACATTTTCATCAACATTTGATAATACTTTGGGGCCTGGTCTGGATTTGGAATTCGAAACAGAAGCTCAAACGCAAGCTCCGGAACCAGCACAATACGAGACTGCTTATGTTACGTCGCACAAAGGAAATTGCAGAGCAGGAGCATTCTCCGCGGATGGTCAACTAATAGCAACCGGATCGGTGGACGCGTCGATAAAAATTTTAGATGTTGATAGGATGTTAGCCAAGTCAGCTCCGGATGAAATGGCACCTGGCGATCAAACGGGTGGTCATCCTGTCATAAGAACATTGTACGATCATTTGGAAGAAGTGACTTGTCTAGAGTTTCATCCAAGGGAACCTATTCTTGTGTCCGGCAGCAGAGATTTTTCCATTAAGCTGTTCGATTTTAGCAAGGCTAGTGTTAAAAAAGCATTTAGAACTATTACAGACGCGGATCAGATACGATGTTTATCTTTCCACCCAACCGGCGACTTTCTAGTTGTTGGAACTAATCATCCTGTCGTAAGACTGTATAATGTTAATACAGCTCAGTGCTTCGTATGTAGTATTCCTAGCCACCAACACACCGCTGGAATAACTAGTATCAAATATTCTCCAGATGCAAAAACTTATGCATCGGCTGGTAAAGATGGGAGCATAAAATTATGGGATGTAGTGTCGAACAGATGTATAAATACGTTTGTAAAGGCTCACGATGGTTACGAAGTATGTTCAGTAACATTTACAAGGAATGGAAAGGTTTGTAGGATCTAGAAAAAACAATCTATTCTTGTTGTACGATACGAAACTGAGATACGATATTTCAATACAGAATTTCATAATTTTATTACGTCTATTGGTTTCAGTATTTACTGTCATCGGGAAAAGATTCCTTGATAAAATTATGGGAGCTGTCCACTAGCAGATGTTTGATAGCGTATACAGGTGCTGGAACTACAGGTAAAACGGTGAATTCCGAGTATATTAAAAATATATACTTGAACATTATACTACATAGATATATACACAGTATATATATAATTCTTTTATCGGTCGTTAATTCCTACGTTTCGATAGGTAAACAAGAACACAAGGCACAAGCTATATTTAATCACACCGAAGATTATGTAATGTTTCCCGATGAAGCAACAACATCGCTTTGTGCATGGAATTCTCGAAATGCGTCTAGAAAACAATTACTGTCATTGGGACACAATGGTCCGGTGCGACTGATTGTGCACTCACCGACTGCCCCAGCATTCTTGACATGTAGCGACGATTTCAGAGCAAGATTTTGGTTTAGAAGGATGCCAACTCATTAAATCGATATTGACGACGAAGAGGATAGATAGAAGTTGAACATTCGATATCGTGACACCAAGTACAAGTGCGAAAGCATGAAGAGAAAAAGAGCTACAGCTAACGATTAAAAAACGACAATATATAAGAATATGTGTGTAAGTTTGTACAAAAGACTTTGTACAATCAGTTCTATGGTGATCATATATTCGGCTGTCGTACCTCGAAGTACGAAACATTGATTGAAACGATATGCAATTTAATTTTAAATATTGTACATATCCGCCTCGTTTCTCGTTTTGAAGTAAAGCTGACGTTATTTTCTTTCGATAACAACTTATATGAATGTTAACATTTAGTAATGCTGCAAATATGTAACGAAATGGCAAGAGACGCGATTTATGCGTCCATTAAATGGTCGACTATAATACTTGAAATTAAACGGCTCAAAATGTTTTTCTTGTTTTAAGTGTAGAGGTAAGTAATCGATCGTAAACAGTTCACGTTGGAAAAAGTAGGAACGTTAACTATACAGACACACTTTGCGTTTCGTATTTTGAATGCGTAAAGTATAAAAATGAAACGATAGAATTTAAAAGGTTGCTCGTTTACGTTGCGTCGCTACGTGTCGAATTATCGAGTTAATCGCGAGGCGGCGCTCTGAACTCCCGCTCTACGTTTGATGATGTGTCACGTGACCCACGCTAACCGCCATCTTTGCTTATCGTATAAACAGTGCGACCGGGCTCAGCACGAATTCTTGCCGAGAAATCGCGGTTTTTCCAGTGTTTTTGAGTGATTCGATCGCAGGGAAATGTCCGAGATTAAGGCGGAAAACAAGAACGATAACAATATCGAGGATGCGTCGAAGGTAAGCGGATGGGAATGCGAGAAACACGTTCATCAAGCCGAGTTTTCATGCCAAGGCGGCGTGTGCTCCCCTCGAATGCGAGGAGACGCTCGTCCTCTCGAAAATTCGATACGATAATGCGTGCTATGACGAACGAACCTTGTTCGAGGAGTGATTGTGCGAGATACGAGCTCGTACGATCACAGGATAACGGTGCCTTATTGCGCGTGGCTACGAACTCGGTGATTTTTCAAAGCTGCGCCGTTTGTCCTTCATTGGCAAAGATGGTGGATGTTTTTTATTTGTGACTCTTGTGACGAGGAGAGTTGCTGGTCAGCGGCGATAGGGTTGTATCAAAAAGGCGGGAAACAAGTTTCGTTAGGAAGACGATGTTTCACACGGTTTTCCACGAAATTGCGGCCCCGTCTCGGAACATCGTCGGTGGCTACGACGCCAGAAATACATATCGACTTGGCAAAATGGCGGGAAACTTAAACAAACTTGGCGTGTGTCGTGTATCCCGTGTGGTTCAACGCAACGGTCCTTGATAAATCTTATCACGCGCGCGTAATTATCGTTCACATTAGTTTTCTTGTAGGCCATCGTGATCCTTGAAGCGACCACGAATCTCGAGCATTTTACCTTTCGCTCGTTTTCTTTCAATTCATGAGGACGAAATCTAATGGAACCATGAATTGTTTGCAGGATCATTCGGCAGAGGAGAAACCGATTCCAGTGAAAAACAAACGAGGAGGCACCAAAAGACTGTCCACATTGGAAAGGACCACTCAGGAAGGCGAACGACTCACAAAGGTGCTTTTTCGTTTTCCTATACGCTCGTATATAATCGTAGTTTATTCATCGAAAATAGCTTTCCGCTTTGCAAGTGCGTATAAAGATCGGATTATTTTTGTTTAGCACCTTGCGTGGTTATTTCCCTTTATTTAACCTCCTTGACGATTCTCGCTGTCTACTACGTGAGCAAAATATTATCGGGAGTGGGGATGGAAGGGATGTTAGACAGTCGAAGGGGGGAAATGGTGCCTTAAATCTTTGGTGGGGAGAATTCGCTACGAATACGTTACACGACCGCTAATTACGAATAGCCCAACCGTTCTTTTTAAACCGATTGCCGGCGCGTTCTTTGTTACCATTGTTTTCAAAATGGCTATGCTGCTTATTACATACCATATTAATTTACTGTACTACTGTGTGTTCTTATTAGGTTGGCAAAATAATTAATAAATAATAATTTTGATTTATAATCTTTTGCTTTTCCAGCAGAAATACCACGATTCATTACGGTAGCATATTTCTGTTATATACATACGTATTCTATTTCAGTTGTGTAAAAAAAATATGTTTATTATCATAGGATTTAAACGCATCCGTTGGAGAAGTGGAAGGAAGGAGGCGTACTCGTAGTTCAGCACGGGGTCTTGCATCATCGACGCCTGTACCGTCTCCACCTAAAAAGGAGAAGAGAGATACGTCGACAAAGAGTACTGGTCGCGGACGCGGGCGTCCGAAACGGCAAGAGAAAAACAATGAGAACAACACGGACGAAGAAGCAGCGAATAACAAGGGTGAGAAGCATTCCGAGGAGGAATCTATGAAAATGGATGTGGACGAGAATAAGGATGAAACAGAGAAATTAGTAGAGAACGAGGATAAAAGTGCTATAAAATCAGAAAGTAAAGAAACCATTGAAAAGATACAGGAACCAAACTTCAAGGAAGAAAAAATGACGGAAGAATCAGAAAATTTTACGGAAGATAATAAAAGTACTAGTGTCAGCGAAGAGAAAAAGGAGGAAGACATAAAGGATAGCTCGGATTCGAGTCAAGATGCGACAGACACAACGGCGGAAGCACCACCCTCATCTTCTTCGGAGTCTCAAAACCCCTCTAATACTACTACTACCGAGGAAAATAAGGAATAACCTCCTTTCGCCTGTTTACCAACTTCATGTAAGCATTCTTTTTCTTTTTTTTCTATCGTTACTTCCTATCGTTTATCGATTTCGATGAAAATTTTGTCGAATTAGTCGATCGAAGAAGGGTGAGAACTTTTTGCTAGCGAACAAATATGTGTACCGTTCGAAGGTAGAGCGCGGGTCGGTACCGTCTGAGAACCATTTGTTCAACACTGTAGAACTTTGATATTAGCATTTGGGTCTCGTAGCTCACGATAGTTTGCGATCAACAACCGTACCAATATCGTAATTGCTTACAAATCTGTACTATCGGATTGCAATATTTCTGCATAACGGGGTTGCCATACATTCTGATTATTTCTTCTATGATGTTGGAAGGATATACGTGTAAGATAGTTTTTGTAAATTATGATAAGAAACGTTGAATCGTAGAGAAATTATTGTTAAAATGTATTACTTCTATAATAGTTTTAAGACGAAGGTTCATCTACATAAAACATTGATTTTTACTGCAGCAGGTACCAGGGCGGCGCACACATTGGGGTTACAAATCCAGTCCCCTCGTCTATTTTAACAAATTGACACCTACTTGCCAATCGTTGCTCTGATCAGCGCACGCGAGATTTGTTTTACTTCTCTTCCGAATTCGAAGATGAGACATTGGAATGTGTTTAAAAACACGCGTTCTTTACATGTTGGAATACATGTTTCATTGACACGTATGTACTCTCAATGGTATCGAGTGTACCATAGTATAATTGTTTTAATTCAGTTTTACTCTGACCGAGTAAAATTGCTCGTTGCACTGGTTAGTTGACGATAGCAAGCGAGGTGTAGAGCATACGTTGTTCATGTACAATGATAATATTATTGTAAAATATATTTAATATGGACTTATATAGAGACAAGTTGTTTTCAAATCAGAGCTGAGATTGGACTCTACAAATACGGTCTTTAATTCAGATCTGATATGGAAGTAGCTGAAATTAATTCGTACATAGCAAATTACTGTAATACCTTATCTTATATAAATAATGACTGAATGAAATGGAATATATGAGAATTATGGTAAAACGATTTCTCTTTTTTCATGGAATACAGAAATAAAATTTCTGAGAAACGCGTCTTAGCGTGAAATATATTGTCTCCTTCCTTGCGTAACGCTATTACTATTCGTCGAATTAACACATTGAAAATTTTTCTTTTCTTTTCTTTTCTTTCTTTTTTTTTCTCTTCCTTTTTACATTTTTTAACTAACACTTTTTAACGAAGTCCGTTTCGTTTACATATTTTGAGCAAATATTATAAGAAAGATATGGAAAATAAGAAAAGAAAAAAGGAAGACGAGGAAGAAATTATTGTAAGATAGACGTGTGTGCATACGTATTTTTCGCTATAGAATTTCGCGACACACGTTGATATTCTGTGATCTATAAATCTATCCATTAAACATCTTTTTTGTTCATAATGGTCCAATATTAAATATGTTGATATTATTGTGTATTTGAACGGTTGCGAGTGTACAGATAGATTATATAATTCAATGCACTATATGGTTAAAAGATTTTCGTTTCTCAATTAAACACGGAAATGGAATGATAAATCTGATCATCGAACGCAAAGAAGATTGATGAAATGTGTGCAATCAAGAGAGAAGCAAGTTGTTTCAATCGTTCGCTCGTAGTGTCTTTTTTGTTTTTTCTTTTGTTTCATTATTTTTTTCTTTTTTTTTTTTTTTTTTTTTTTTTTTTAATTTTT